GGATAGAATGCCAGATGACAAACCGCCCCCCTTGTTGTTCCAGAGGCTTATGCCCTCACCTCCCAGGGGGTTCACTGCCCTCCTGGTGCTAACAAGAAGCACATCTGGAGATGTCTCTTACTTTGATCACTTGGTTTTAAAAGGGAAATAAAAAGGATGACCTCAAAAGTTCTAACAAGCCCATGATTCATCTTTTCCTGCACTCGGTCTTCGTAGCAACTAATTATCTGGTATTGAAATCAGAGTCCCTCAGAGACCTCAAAGAGAGGAGACACAAACCCCGACGACTCTGAGCCAGCTTTGTTTCGGGGCTGTTGCTCATGGAACAGCCGATTCCACCTGTATCCCCCCGCTTCGGACCAACAAACGACCACGAGCAGAAGAGCCAACTTCTGATGGGAAGAAACCCGGCTGAAGCTGACGCTTCCCCTGTGGCAGGAAATCTCCTCTTCTGAAGGACACCAGGCGGGGTCAGAACAAAAGCCCTGCCATGGTGGGCTCATGACAAACCGAGGCAGTCGGAGGCTTCGCCACGGGCTGTGAGGTTCAACCCTGATGGAGAAGCTGGTTCCCATGGATTAAGGTGCTGAAGTCAGTGATGAAACCCGCATGAAGAGCCAGCTGTGAGGCTGCTCTGACACCTCTCGCGTGTATCTGAACCCAAACATCACATGTGTCTGAACCAAGGTCACAGTGGCAGAGGTGCGGGTGGCAATAGAAACATTCGAGGTTTCCATGCGGTGGTGGGTATTGAATCACAGCCAAGCCTCCTGCTTAACCACCCTGCTGGGAGCTACATCTCCCACCTCCAGGCTCTGTGTTCATTGGTACAGAGCAAGGACTGACTCCCAGCTAAATACTGGTAGAAATACCATGACAGGGCACTCACAGAGGTGTGAAGATGTCTGGTCCTGGCTCTGCTTTTACACAAACCTTCCATCAACAGTGGCCCAGTTCCTTTGGAAGGTTTTGCTCGTCTTTGGCACTCACACATCCACAGACATCAGACCAAGCACTGGAGCCAATGCTCAAAATTCACCCTTCGTGCTCTCGCAGCTCAGTGCTACCTAAAGGAGCAGCACCCCAGGCAGGACTGCAGCATCGCTGCACAGTGCAGGGCTCCAAGGCTCCCAGTGAGAGACAAACATCCTGATACTTAACCTGCCTTTTTACCTTGAAAAGCCACTTGCAAACCCACCGAGTGGTGCCGAGAAGCCTCACTGAGACCACTGAGTTTGCAAGAAAGATGCTTTCACCCACCTGCCAGTCCTGGGACTCGGGTCTCCTTTCACTTACCATCATGGCTTAAAGATGTTCTACAAGACCACCTGGGGCTTGTGTACCTGCAGGAACTCTTCAGGTTTTGAGAGCTGGCACCCAGAGCCCAAAGGCTGTAGATAGGACCAGGCTGAGGGGGGGGGCTGCTGCTTCTCAGTAAAACTTAAGGCTATTTGGAGAGACCAAAGAGAAAAGGCAAGCACCCCAAGTCCTCCTAAAGCCCTTCTCCAAAAGCTTGGGCAGGAGTAATTCTGCCTTTGAAACAGCACTTTCTCCTCTCTCTTATTACGTTTTCTGGGTTAGTATTTTACTGTGGGTTGCTCTCGGTGGTGCACAGCTCCCAATTAACCCAGGGACTAATTCAGAATATGTATTTGTTTCCAAGCAGACATTAAAAACTTCTCAAGAAGGTAAATATACAAGAAAGGGAAGCAAACTAAAAGGCTTTGGTTAGAAAATTAAAGTTGTTTGCCATGGCTTGATGGCTTAATCAGTCGATCAATATTGTTCACAGGGCAGGCAGGGAGGGAGCCACGAGCTGTGATGAAAAATGCATGAGGGGACAACAGAGACCTGGGAGCAGAAAATTAAAAAGTCAGCCTGTTACATTTGTCCAATATTGGCAGAGAAATTAAAGTGGTTTGGGGGGGTGCTGGGAGGGAAGAGGGGAGCTGGCTGCAGCCCGCACTGCGCAGCCACTGCTGCAGGTTCCCTTCACCAGAGAAACTTTCACATTAATTAAGTCGCTTTCTTAGCAAAAAGATGGATTTTGTAACCTTTAGCACTCGCCAGCACCAGGAGCACAGTAGGTGGGGTTGGCACATGGGAAAACAGAACCAGCTTTCTTCACATCAGGGGTGCAACAGCAGAGTGCGCGCTGGGAGGAGGGCAAGTGATACCAAGAGGATGCTGAGCAGGGTGAGACAATGTGCTTTTCCTGCAGTATTAGGTGAGATTAATACATCACTGTAGCACAACCAACAACAATGCAGCTCTGTAACACAGAGCCTGAGCCACTAGAAGCAGCACTGGTGTTTCTGCATGTAGATTAGTTTCCTTCTCTCTCTTGTTAAATTCAGCTGCTACTGCTTCGGCAGCAGAACTTGCCTTGCAGAGACAGGCGTCAAGAGAAATGCGGTCTAGAATCACAGAATGGTTTGGGTTGGAAGGGACCTTAAAGATCACCTAGTTCCAACCCCCAGTGGGGGTCAGAAGATGCTCTGGAAGAGGTGAGAGACAAACATTCTTTACGGATCACAGAGCTCGCTATTTGCCTCAAAGAGCTGAGCTGCTTCAAAAGCTGCTACAAACTCCAACGATAAAAGAAAGCAAGGCTGCTCACTCTGCAACTAAACCGCTTATTGTCACCCATCCCTGTCAACTAAGGGTGAAAAACAATAATGGCCATTACCCAAGTTACAAAGTGGAGGAAGAACACCCAAATGCTGTGTGGTGGGAGTGGCTTTTTCATTAGAAGCAATCTCCCACCTTCTACTCTTCGCATTCAAAACCCAGACTGAGCCTCTGCTCGCTCGAGAATCCCCATCTCAGCAATAACCCAGCCCTGGCCACTGACCACCCGGACCTCAGGGCAGTGAGCAGAGCCAAGCACACACTGCAGTTCATAAGCTTAAGAAGAGTTTAGACAGTTGAATTCTACTCTCCAAGACAGAAATATCCCAACCTGTTGCACTTGAAGGCTCACAGGGATGGAGATCACCATTTCTCTATGAGGGAGGAGATTCCCTCCCACTGCAGTTTTCCGGGGGAAGCAACGTGACTAACAGGTTTGCACGTCTTTAAGACAATTATTTTTGTGCTGAGGTACCAACAGTGAATTTTATGACTTTCCATCAGGCTTGCCAATTACAGGTTTAAAATATCAGGCTCAATTAACACAGACTGGCTGATGCTGTTTCCTGCAGCTAATTAAAAGTACCAAGGCATGATTCCACACACAATACTTTTACGAACTTCAGGATTTGCTTTCCGCACCATTATTTCAGTAGAAACAGGATGGAGCAGTGCCCAAAGCAGGTTGGATACTGTATTATGACCTTTATATTAACAAAAAAAAATGCTTACACTATCAGAAACCCAAACCTTCTAATTAGTGCAGTAACGGGACAGAGAGCGGGGATGTGTAGTTACAAGGCGCTCTCTCATCTAAGATGCACACATTGTTCTGTCTTGGGTGATCTTTGTACCAAGAAGGCTACTTGGGTCAAATAACAGCAGGAAAAGCTGTCATTAGGTAATTCAGCTGCAAGTGGATTTGAAATGGTCATTATCCCATGTGGCAGTGGTTCTGTTTGGTGATTGGGAATAATTAAATATAAGAAGTTAAAACTCACCGACATCCTCAGACAAATACACACTCACTTGTGCCTCTGAAGGAAGTCACAAACATGGTTTTTCTTTCAAGCTCCTCTCTCTTACAGGATCCAGCCTTGCACAGATTTGTGTAATTAAAAAGCTGAAATTCCCACATCACACACAGTCCTTGCAGGAAGGAGCGGCTGTCTTGGGGAGCTCAGTCTTTTATGCTACCAGCAATCACAGTTAATTCAGTACCACGCAAGTACAAGGTGATACTAAAGTTTCTTCATTTTTCAGTTTCCACAGCTATGAAACAGACTGTTTCATAAATGCTGTAGGTTCAAATGATATTAAACAAGTGCTTTAAAATCTCTGAGCACCTTATTTCAATTGGCTTCTTCGCCTTCCCGCCCTGTTTTTGTCCCCCCTTCATTCCCTTCTTTTTCTTAAATGTGATTTAACTTCACTCCACACTCCTTGCTGAGAACCAAACCCAACTTTGCCACCACCAAAGCCTCCAAGAAGGACATCTTTTCTTTCTGCAGCAGCTTTTCCACAGGCAGAAGGAATCTTATAAATCAGTCTGTAGCATAATACCTTAATGTCAATTTATCTGAAAATGAACTGAGTGACAAAGCTTCAGACCTCGCTTACCAGCTCCCAAAAGGAAGCTTATTACCACAGCCTCCGTGGCTTGTAAAGGAAACAAGAGTGCACCAATGGGAATCACAGTGGAATTAATCAAAGTGGCTATCGGGAGATGACAGATGAAATGACAATCCTGAGGGAAATCCCAGAGAAGACACGATCTGCTACACAGCCCCAGGCAGGACCAGGGACCTTCCCCATCTTTGGATGATGGAAGAATGGCTGAGGCTGGTCAGACCTGAGTACTGCAAGTGCAACGATTACTGGGAGGGATCATGATCTTCCCTGGCATGTTGCAGGTGAAGTTTAAATCCTGCAGGAAACATGCTGCGTGTGTCTGTGCTGCAGCAGCTGTGCTTTAGGGATGAATTCTTTCACTTCTTGCAGTCCTAAACCATGACATGCTGTCACTGCTCATCACACATGTTCTAACCACTTAATACATGCACATTATGCTAACATTTATCATTACAGTTTCAGTAAAGGGAAACATCTGTTGCCCCCACCTTAGACAGTACATTGCATCTTCCAAGCTGCCACATGCCTTTGAAATTCCATGTTTAATCAACACCATAATCTCTTCCACAGCCCCCCCCCAGCACTGAGATAAGCAGCCTTGCAACAACCACCCCCCCCCATCCTATCTGCATGAATCTTTCAATGTTTCCAGTTTTCCTAAGGAAAAGGGCAGCATTCCCCACCAATCCCAAGGATTCTGTTGATGAAATGAAAAATAAACATCACCAATTCTGGAATATAAAATTTATTTCAAACTTGTAAAAGTCTTCAACATTGCAAATTCTGTCACAAAATACAAACTGTACACAGGTATTTTCATTAAGGTTTAGAATAACGACTTATTACTGTCAGATCCCCCCAGACATGTCATTTCACCTCAGAAGTATCAAGTGATCACACACAGCTTCTTACCATCCTCTTCAAAATCCTTCAGTCTCACACATGCCTTGCAGAGTGTTGGCTTTTAAAGAGTCAAATGTGTTAGTGCAACCTCACTACTTAGCACAGGGTGAAAGGTTCAGAAATGGAACCACCTATCAAACCATCAGCTCTTTCCCAAGCCTGTCACATTGTCCACTCCTCGTGTTATCAGGGTCTGGGCTTCTATTGCCTGCAAGTGTCATGAAAAGCTTCGAGTGTTCGGAAATCCCTCCATGTGGGAGGCAGGCCATCCTGCAGAAACTTTCCGCAGCGCTGGCAGGGAGCCTGGAACAGCTTTATGTAACTTCTTAACCAGGTCTAAAAGGAAAAGGGAGAGAAATTAAGAAAACTGGATAGATGTTCCCCTTTGTCATCATTCTTGTCAAACAGCGATAGCAAGGACAGAGAATGTACTTTGGCGAGGCCCCAGCAAGGTATACAGTGATTTTATAAACAGAAACATGCCCAAGATTACAAGGTCACTGTATAGCTGAATTCCCACTTTATTAATCATGTTGTGCTTTTTTAGTCACTTAAGAAAATTTGTTAATAGAAATTCATGCACTCTGAGCAGGAGGTATTTGCACCCAGAGAATCATGATGGAAGACAAGTATTGTAACGTCCCTCATATTTTTCCTGGAATATAATTGTTCCTGATGGGTACCTTCTTCAACCGCATATTGGTTTGTCTCTTCCTATGATCATCTATCACACCCCTGCTGCAATCATACTGCAGCAGTCTGAACTCTTCATAGCTGAAGATACAGGGACTTTCACAGCAAGCTAACTTCCTCTCTAATGTGATTTTAAGATCAATATTCACTGGTCATAAAAATACCGTGCCATTTTAAAATCTGATTACAGTGATTACACAAAAGGCTAGTGCAGAACAACACAGTAAGTTCAGGTGTTCCGAGGTACAGTTCCTGCCTCTAGAGCGGATTGTTCCCATCATCATCCATAGCAGTGAGCATTATGTAACTCAATTCCCAACTCAAGGAGATCCATGACTAAAAAGCACCTAGGCCAGCAGATTTATACTGTGAAGGATGCACATGAATCTTGTCATTTAAAGTCCTATTGAATAGCATCGATAAGAGAAAATTGTTCTCTGAAGAAGAGGTCAGCACAGTTTATTGAAACAAATCCTTCCATCTTCATCAGAGCCTTCTCTATAGCAACCAAACCTTTGGCCGTCAATAACTCGCCTCCAAAAGAACTAGATCTTCTCTGGGTTTAGCAGTGAATACAAGGACAAGGGCAACAGAACAACACAAGTAAATTGCTGTTATTTACTCGAGTTTGGAGGGGCTTTGCTTGCAATACAGAGAAATCAAATTTTCTGAACCATAATACAAAAGTAGGTAAATGAAGTTCAATTGTGCACTTGAGACATCTGTTGACAGAAAGGAGAGAAAAAAGGGGTTCTTCATTTCCATCAGAAAATCAGGACGTCTGTATATCCTATCATGTGGATTGCACAACTGATGTGAAAGGACCAACACTTCTGGTGTGCATTTGGTTTTGCTTTCTTAAAAGTTTTAGTAGAGTTTTACCAAATCAGTAAGGCAGGTCCATGGCTTAACCAAAGGTGCTCCTCATCCTATTAAATATTAATTTTCAGAAACGTGTTGAACATGAATTTGACCAATAAGAGCTGCTCTGAAAGCATTTTTAAATTATTTTAAGATGTGCTCCAAGAGAAAAGACCTTTGCAACTCTCTCAGTGGCAGTTTTGTTAAATAAAGGAACCAGCACAGCAGGTAAGGAAGCCTGACTGTTCCGAAATTACACAGTTGAAGTTAAAGATGCAAAGAGATATTAGAACCAATGCTACTGTATACACCTAAGGATTGTGAATGGCAAAATCAGATGGCACTAACTGGGAATCTCCTCTTGTCAGAGAACTTCCAGCAGAGCAGACTTAAGTACACTCAGAACTCAACTTCCGGCAGAGCATGAACAGCATGAAAGGGCTGGGTCGTAACAAAGCATTCAGTTGAGTTTCTCCTACTGTCTTTCTAGCTGGTCCTACCCAAATAGGTATTTTTGGTATATTCCTAATATTGGTATATAGGTAATATTGGTATATTTAATAAAGGTATATTTATATTTTAATATAGGTATATTTATATTAACATAGGTATACATAATATAGGTATATTGGTATATTTAATATAGGTAATATTGGTATATTCCTACCAAATAGGAATCATCAAGCTAATACTGAAACTTGTGACAGAAGAACCACATACAGCTCAGTCTTCCGACACCAATTATCCCAGGGTAGTGAGAAAGAGCTCTTCATCCTTGTCCAGGTATGAGAAACAATAACTGTAATTGTTTAAACAGGGGAAGTTACAACTGCATCAGGAACTGTTTCATGTCAATCACTGTAAGCATGCTGAAGTCAGACAGACTGTATGAAAGATGTATTCTCCAATACACTTACCATGAAAGATCTGACTACCACATCTGGCATTTGAGGCAGCTGGTAGTGCAATAGAGCAGTGGTTGCATGATCTGTCACCTGTAAAAGGCAAAAGGAGAACATACCCTTATTCATCTGTGTTCTAAACAAAGCAGTGTTAATCTGCAGGAAAACAGCATAAATTCCACGGGGAAGTAGCAAACCAAGGATTCCAAGACATTCTCAAGGTAATTCTGAGTAGCTTTTGCCAGCGGCTTTCCATTCCCTCTGCCAGCTTCACACAAGAAGCAGTTGAAGCAATCATGATAAACAACTTTGTACACATTCAGTAAAATCAAACACACCTTTGGAAGTTCATAAACAGGATAAAACCTAATAGTGCTGGTAAAAGAATCTAAATTGGTGGCTCACGCGAGCCAAATGATGAGGAAGGCAACCAGCTCTGTGCCATACGGAACAATGCTAAGCTAACAAGCTTTGGACTACCAGCCCAGCCACAAAAAGCAAACAAAAAAAATCCCTTCTGTACCAAATAAAAGCATCCATAGCAAATAATTTGCCTAACTTTCAAATACCTACAGTGTAAGAGCAGAATCTATGCTCCTATGACTGAAATCTTGTGTGTTCTGTGAAATCACAAACAAGCAAAGTCACTAAACAAATCATGCCAGAAGAAAGCACTCTAGTCTTCTCTTTGTATGTTGCCTTTGGTCATTGTTTTACAGACAATATATCCCCTTAACCTGGGCTGATTTGCTCAACAAACAAAAAGCCATTGTCAATGATGTAGCTAAATCAAATACTTCTGGAAGACCTATTTATTAGAGGTTATGACTGCAAAAAACAACGCCCAAGCTTTGGTTTTGGCCTGTTTTATTAAAGAAAAACAACAAAACACCAGAATAAAAGATCTCAATATTAAAATGCATTTTAACAGAAAAAAAAAAAAAAAAAAAAGAGTATGCTCCTCTCCATTTTCTAATGGGGAAAACCTAAAATATTTAACTCCTGCAGTCCTATTTCAGGTTGCTTACATTGAACAAACAGAAATCAAGCTCTCAGTTTCATTTCCTTTGAAACCAGGAATCAATTAATAAGATTATGATTTATAAATACTTGCCTTACTAAAGGATTTCTAATAGAAAGCTTTTCCATTTCCCAGACAGAGCCATAACAAGACCTTACATCTGGGAATTACAGCCAGGCACAGTACATACAAAATGTGCATTATCCCATGTATAATAAGGAAAATGATTAGAGAAAAATCAGGAAAAGAAACCAATGTTTTGTGATAACATTATTTAATTTTTTTTTGCATCACTACCTATTTTTGCCTTCTCTGGCAGGAGGCACTTTGACAGCTCCGATACAAGTCACCCAAAGTAACTCAGCCTGTCACCTTCTAAAGTTATCAGCACAATCAACTTGCTTATTCCCCAAGTTCAAGGCTGAATGCAGAAAACATTGGCACAATTCTTTAGGCTGGACTATTAAAGAACTCAAGACAACACAACCACAAGAGCTCTTTCACATCTTGTAACTTGCAAATCTATTAATGGTCCCCATCAGTAATATCAAAGCATCCAACAAATGACACAATTGTCCAGTTAACGATTAAATTGTGTTTTCTACTTCTAGCATGAAGAAGTAGTGCTCTTTCCAGGGCTTGTCTATGTATTTCCCATGGTGTGTCTATATACTGTAGCAAATTTTGAGTAAGGTGAAGTGTGAACAGAAAACACAATTGCTATTCCAATCTAACTCTACTTGTTCCCAATATGCAGTTAGCCAGTGTGAATTGTGCTCTCTCCCTGGAGAAAGGGAGGCTCATGCTTGAAGCTATTCAAAGTAAAAGATACATTCCTGAACAAATCCATGCAGAGACAGGCTCTAATTCACACCATAGAAACTTCCTCCACAGAACACTACATCAAATCAGTCTGTCCTATACCAAATCCAGTCTTCAGTTGCACTACAATTTTAGAAACGGATTCTGCTCCCCACCAGTCGTGCATAACTCACTCCAAAAGCAGCTCCATTCAGTATGAATAGGGACATATGATTCTGACATTTGGAAGGGAAAACTTCTGGGACTGTGCACACTGTGGTGAGTTTGCAGAAACAGTCACAAAATGGACCTCAACCTGCCTAAGCCATTTGTGTATCACCATACTAAAAACAGTATTAGAAATCAGGTGATTAACAGCAGAATTCCAATCAGTCCTTTCTTTTAAACACATCTCTGCAGTGTTCAGAAATGTCTGCAATCCAAGCCCTACTCACTATATGAATTCTTTTCTTTTAAGATGGTGCTTTTATAGGATAGTACCAGACATGTCAAAGAATAGAAAGTTCTGAAGGTATTTATGAGCAACCGCTCTCCTTCTGCTGTATTTCTACTTCTAACAAACTGCTTTTGCTTTTTTTTTTTTGCTGAACAACAAAGTTGCTTTCTCTTGGCAGAAGAAAGTTGCTTAAAAAAACATACTGCTATTAACAAATTTAAATTGACTGGCCACTTTGGCACAGTTGCACATATGCTGTTCGTATTGTAATGTAAAGCTAATGAGATTCCACAGGGAGATAAAAGCCATCCCAGCATTGCTAGAACACTAATAATGTTTTCTGAACAAAATGGAAGTGATTTCTGCCATAAGCAAGTGCTGATAAAATGCTTCTAAAACAGATCAAAGTGGGTGTGATATTTGAGGAACAGGAGTATGGGAATGATCCCCCCAACCCACCCAGCAAAGAATGATATCAAACAGAAAAGAGCTGGGCAAATGATATAATGGCCAGTGCATGGGAGGAAGAACTAAACCCCCCCAAGATAACAGAGATGATGAGAAAAAGGACACACTGGCCAAGATTAAAAAAAGAGGGGGGAAAAAGCAAAGGGGGGTGGGGGAGTGAAGATCAATACCAGCCTTACTGATGGCAATATGATTTCACACTAGAGCAGAGCAAAGCAAAGCAAAGCAAACTGCGTATGTGCCAGCTCACTTAAGGGACACGCTTTTGCTTCCAGCTAAGTTGGAATCACAAACTAATTTATTCTGGGTGCAGGATGACATTTTGTACATTTCAGGGTTTTGTTTTATCTTATTAACTGCACTTCTATTGCTCTACCTTACCAACTGCTATGTAAGTTATCAGTCACTTTCTAATTTCTCTACCTCTTTTAAATGGGCACATATTCAGAAGAGCACGCATTGATTGGGATAGATGTTCCTCTGGACCTTGAAATAGATTTTCAAGAGATCTTGCAGAAAAGCTCAATATTTCACAATTCATATATTGAAAAGCACTTGGAATTTTTGTCCGAAAAAAGGCAAGACAGGGCAATCTCCTGAAGCACAATTTTGCTAAATAAAATACCTATTGTTTAACTAAGCACTTGAGACTGAGCAAAACAGACTTCAGCTACATGGAGAAACGAAATTGGCAGAGACTCAATCTGAACAAGAAAACTTCCCTTCTTGTTAATAGTTAATTATATGGCCAGAGATTTTATTTCTTTTTGTCCTTTTTGCTTCCAAATTCAAATTGACTATAACCACGTACTTCTTAAATGCATCTCTACTCCCTTGTCTCGGGTACTTTATAACGCAAGCATACAAAACAGACTGATACTGGATCAAATCTCATCTTCACTGTGACCTTGTGCTGATTAAATCCCATGTACTTGTCACTGGGTGAACAGCCAGACCCCAGCAAGTGAGCAGGAGTGGTTGGGCTGCTGCAAGAAACAACCTGTGGAGCGGGGAGACGTGAACTCCTGGTGCAGCCCCCTGCTCTGCTTGCCTGCTTGGTAAAGTTAAGAACAGCTCATGAGACCAACACCAGTGACGGGCAGAGAACAAAACCCCTGTTTTGTGTCCCTACCAAGCCAACAGCAGCCAGTTCTAGAGCATTTCTACCCCCTGCTCTGCTGAAATGTGGTGATGCATCTGAAAAATGGCATTACTGGTGTTCATGACACTTGTTAGTCATACAGCATCCCCAAAGCTGAAAATGCATTAAAAACCCCAAAACACTCTACAACTCACAGGTTGAGAAAGCTGAACAAGTGCTTCCTCTAACTGGACTAAGAAGCACAAAAGTAAAGACGTATGGCATAGCTTTGCTATACCTGGCATAAAACCCAAACCATAAAAATACAAACATCACAGACTAAATTACTGAAGCTGTCTCTCTTCTAGTCTTCTTACTGCCACATAATACACTTTTCAAAAGAAAGCACAAAACTTCCTTTAAGATTCATAACTTTCCTTGCCACTCATTTATTGGTTTATTCCCTCAAGTACAGCACTGACAACTCCATCTAATATAAAGGGATTCTCTAAATCCCCTGAAAGGTTTTTTAATTTTTTTTAAACCCCGCTAAGTTCATGGCCTTAACAGTAGCCTGTAACAATGAGTTCTGGAGGATGATCACAGCACTTCAAGGAAAGAAAAAAAGGAAGTTATTTTATTAATGTTTAGACCTTTCATAGTTTGGAAAACTGCACGAGTGCCTTTCTTCATTTCCAAGGATTCCCATTACTCAATCTTCTCTCCAGGAACACATTTGAGTCCCTCTAGAGGGAAGCTGGTGCACAGAACCCAGTGCCCAAGAGGCGCTCGGAAGGATGATAGATGGTGCCTCTATGAACAGGCACAGATGAACCCCACACAAACCCTTTACACACCCTTCCCCACTCCCAGTTCAGTAAAGCGCTACCAGACTTTTCTGAAGAGTAGGATTTATCACTTGTTTTCAGAGCTCACAGAGTGTTTAAGTTCTTATTTCACATGTTCTGCTTGTTTGGACTTGGTCACAGAGATTTTATGTTGCCCAAGGAGGTCTTTGAAGAGAGCAAGTACCGATCACACACAGGAGCAGTCACACAGGTGACCCTGGAACAGTCCATCTCCTCTCCTTGAACAGGCATCATCAATAGCCCAATATTTGCCTCATGCATGCATTCATCCTGCATGTGATTTTATTCTGAGATTATTGACAAGAATACATCTTCATACATTACAATACTTATGTGCCCTTGTAGTGGTGAAAATTGTGCTCCAGAGTTCCATCACTTTGGGATCACGCAGCTCACAAACAGCGAGATAGGCACAATCAGCTTCTCAAAGGTGAGGTTAAAACGTGCTTGGGAAGAAAGTTTAATGTTTGGCCTATCAAGCCAAAACAAAACCAGTTTGTGGCATGCTAAAACTGAAAGACCATTTAGGTGAAAATGAGACTCTGAGATCAGATTGAAATATATGGGTTTAAGCCTATGTATAAGACTTAAACAGCCAAAACTGTTATACAGCAAAACAAGCTATCTGCTCTTAACTGAGCAGCTTGATAAATGAAACAGTTAATGTTTGACACCATCTCCCATTGTGAACCACTCATAGCAGTTCACTATTCTGTATTTTCGCTTCTTCTTTGAATGCAAAGTTAGGAGTATTGCACCATTCTCTACAATATGTATTTTTTTAATCCTCTGGAATTTCCAGCCCTCGTGTTCACTCTTCTTCCCACCAAGATTTAAGCCCCCAAATATTTCCTTATTTCCTGTTTTGTTCCTCCTCTAGCGCTAGTGGATCAAGAGATGCAGGGAGGTTTAAGATAAAATAAAGAGGTTTAAGATCAAAACAGTTGCCCCTCCTGTGGAGTTTAAATGTCAGACCAACATGGAAGTCTGAAAAACCTTTTCTTAGCTCCTTGTGCTTTTGCCCTTTCAGCCTTCCCTCTCTTATTTCCCAGCTCCATTCTCTGAATCTAACCCTGCTGGTGGATTCAATGCCTTTAAAGCTGATTCACCCCAGGACCAGATTCAAGGAGTCTCCAGGGAACTTTGAAAATGACTGTACACTTTAACAGTAATGGCCCTCCAGGAGCCATCCCCCATCAAATTATACACACTTGGGTATCCTGCCTAATAAGAAGGAGAGAGAAAAGGCTTGCTGACACAGCCAACGTTTGCAAACAAAGAGTCAGGACAAATTTAGCATCGTTTGACAGGGTTGGATTGAAGATCAGAGGTCTCTGGTCCTTAACCTAGAAAGTCATGCTGCAACCCTGTGAGGATTTTGACAGGCTTGCAGCTACCACAGGCAGGTATCTTGTGAGCTCCAGATGTTGTTATATTATCATTGAACACAGAGTTTGCAAACTTGGTCCAGCTTTTAAAGAGAAACAGCCCTGCCCTTCAGAGGGATGACTGACTTCACAGTGTTAGAGGTAGCAGAGCTGAAAGGGCTGCCCAGCCTACTCGGTCGGAGCAGTTACCCATCCGTATTTTTCCTTCTCAGCACAGCCCTTCCACATCATGTTACTGGTCACTGCCATGAGAAACACATTTCAAGAACATTCAGATGTGCTCTGACACATTTACTCATTACTTTTTTAATGGCATGAAAACATTTGTTCTGAAGATCCTGCAGGATGGATCCCACTCTAGCAACTGAGTAAAATAAAACAGTGCTAAAGAAACTATTAATTCCCTTCATTTTGCTACTGCTGAATCACTAGTCCTGGGTATTCTAAATGGCTACTAGTACAGGTTCAGAGAATAAGGAAAAAACCAAACCAAGCACAGCACCAGAGAGAGAAAACTTACTAAGTTGAACCATAGTATTTTCTATCACCTTTTTGAAAACTTGACATAGGTCCTCGCTTTGATTTCTTCAACTATCAGCTCAATGGTACAGAATCTATTGATTAGAAATACCATCACCTTGCATTTTTATCACATTTTTCATGCGAGAGTCAGAGAGCACTATGTAACCAATTCAGCAAATAGCTCCTGTGAAGTCAGCAAGTATTACCCCAGCCTAAGAGATGCAGAAAACTGATCCAAACAGAGGTTAAGGTGCCCAAGGTAACACAGTGACAGAAAGGGAACAAAGAGCATAAAACCACTGTAAAAAATGCAGAGTGATGTTCAACTGGTCTAGAGGTAACCATTTCTTGTGCAGTCTTTTCAAAACCACATGATTTATTATCATTTAGCACAAGTTATGGCAATATGATTTCACCCTTGCCAGTTATTCTAAACCAGAACATCCAGGAAGAGGATCTTATGCCCAGATGAGGGTACAATCACACACACAGAGGGGGAAATTGAGACGATGCACTTAATTACAGAACCTTAAATTTATTCCATTGCAAAAATAACCTTAGTAACAGGTTACTAAGATATACTCTGGTTTACTTCCTGCTGTATTACCCTACTTGACACTAAATATAATATTTTTGAGGAGCAAGGAAAAAGGGAAGAATAATTAATCCACTAATCTCTGGGGTAAAGAATCAACCACAGCGAAATTCTGCTTTAATGCTAGGCAGAGAGGGAGAGCAACCAACCTCCCCACAAGCTGTCCTTTGATCTCTAGCAGGTTAATATCATAGGTCAAACATCTTCCCTTCTGACTGCATCTGAAATCTTGGAAGGAAGATGCACAAATACAGCCAATATGCCATTCTTTTGACCCCTGCTTTTATGCCCTTTCAGGTCCCTAACCCCCATTTGTTACACAAACTACAGAAGCAGATGAAAGGAAGCTAGTGTACCAGCTGGAGACTCAAGCTCCTTGAACTGTAGCTTGAAGGTAAGGAAACTAGAATTTAAACCCAGATCAATCTGAACTTACAGCATTTTTGACAAGAGGCCTTCAAAGAGAAACCTTCTCTTCCCTGCCTGGAAAATAGTGAGATACAGATACTTCCAAAACACTTTAACCTTCTTAAGAGTTTTATACTTACTGCTCCCCTTCTCCCATTGGTCTTTTCTTACTTTCTGGAGTGGTGTTCATTCCAGTAACCTACTCCTTTTGCTTACACCATCATGGGCAGAGAAGCAGGCAAAGTATCGACATGGAAAAAGCATCCAAACTCATTCTGGCAAGTGAGTTCTGCTGATTATTAAATTCAAGCCCTTAGGAGAGGAGGGACAACCAAACCCAATGAAAACAACAAACAAATGAACCTGAAACAGTCTTTCCTCCCCCAAAAGTTCTACGCTTAAAACCAGGAGTGCTTGAAGATTCCTCAAGAAATTTTAATGCAAGAGCAGTATAATCTCCAGTTTCCTATTCCAAACCACGGTCTGGAATTGTGATGGGAAATAAATCCAAATTAAACAGCAGCAGAAGTGATCTCCTTTTCTACTCATTGTTTTCCACTATTACAGATTGTTTATTATCTGCAAGCTATGGTTACAACAGAGTAACTCCTGAATTCTTTTACATAAGGGCCTAGATATTCAAAATAAACGCTGCATGTCTTTTATATGCATTATGTAGAGAGAAATTATGTGACTTACCTTCTGAAAAACTTGATAGTTGGATTTAGACCATATGTCAAGCTACAACAGGAAAGAAAGAAAGAAGAGTTATATATTACAACACATAAAGAAGCAGTTTTATGCAGAAAAAGCAGCTACGCAGCTATTCAAATTAAAAGAGCATGTAAAAGATTTATGGGGACATATTTCTTAGTTCACTATTTCGACCCACTGCCTTTACCTGTTGCAATCCAAGAAAGGGAATTAATGACACAAGATTTCCTTTGTATTGCAATGAAAAATGAACATGGTTCATCCCAGTTTCAATTAAAATGATATATACAAGACCTGTTGAATTAATGTGCTCTCTTTAGAAACAGCAAAATCTTCATTTGTATGGGGTTGTGGCTGATCTATGCAAATATTCATCAGCTTCAGTCTGTTTCTAAAATGAGGGCATTTTTATTAAGTTTATGCTTGTCTTGTTTCTAAATAAGCTACTCAGTTACAAACGACACAAAGAACGTTTAGCTGAATTAAGCCAAAGCACTGGTCTACTGGGGCTAAATAAAACATCCCTTAGGAAACTGTATTTACATTTGCAGACAAAACCCACATTAAACCAGATTTAATGCTGTAGATAACTGCACACATCCATGAATTAAATGTGTGTTCAACTATATACAAACTAAAAAGACAAAATTGAAATAAGTTTTATTAGCCCTGGAAAGCAGAAGGTAAGGCTGTCCTTGTTAAACAACTAAATGGCTCACATGTTAAACAACTTCAACTGACATGCTAGTGCTCTTTTAGCCCAGCCCCCTGCAGTATCTTGTACATTGCCAAGGAAAAGCAGCAGGGAAAACCAAGAGGAGCTTCTGTCAATCCCAGACTCGTAAATCACTTCTTTTCCCTATAGATCCCCCTGTACTCAACAATTCCATATTGTCACAGGTAAGGTGTTTGATACAGTATTAACCTGCAGAATCTGTCTAGACACAAGAAATAAATTTATGAGTGAATTTATGAATTTGTGAAGCAGGAATAGCCCCCGTAGTGCTTCATAACATGGTTGGGCACATGTTTTCCCACAATGGGGGTTCATCTCCTTTAGTATAAGGTACAACTCATTATTTTAGTTCTGTCTTATGTGCCCATAAGTCCTGGCTGAAATTACAAGTCTTTTAAAAGGCACAAAAAGAGTCCGAAATAGAGGAAATCATATGAAGTGAATAAAACACATTAGAGGGGGGTGAAGGAGGAGAGCGGGAAGGATTCTGAACCCAAGTAACTAATTCACATTGCTAAAAATGTTCAGAATGCCAAAAGTCTGCATTCTTTTAAGAGCAGTACTGTTTAGTGGCCCATTTCTAAATATTGGTTCAGAAGCGACTTGTGAATTCCCAGTCCTTGGCCTAGACAGGAGGTGATGTTGAAGACTAAAAATGATTTCAGGATAGATGTTTCCTGGCTTAATACCACTGACCTTGCCTGAAGACAAAAGGCAGCTGGTATCTCAATGCCTTTTTCAGGTTAGATGAAGACAGAAGTGCCCCGAGGCATGCACCTGCAAACCTTTCTACATTTACTGGCTCTTAGGGTGGGATCAAGAACCTGTGTGAATACGAACAGCACTCACACACTCGACTCCACAGCCTGGCTTTGGACCTGAGCTTAATTTACATTGTAATAACAAAGCTGTGCCTGTTGGGATGGAAGCAGTGCATTTCCATATTAGAAAAGGCTACATTTGAAAATAAAAATAATTAATGCATGTTTTTTTAAGAACTGTTTCATATAATTTAAAGCTGTCTTTGACTGCAGACAGATTTGCTATAATTGGAATGTATATATGGTTTTGCTAATCTCTAGTGATCAAACCAAGTATGTGATCCTCTCTAGTTAAGACTCAAAAAAAGTCCACTTCAGACGCTGCATTAAGATGGGTCCAGCAGGTTCTGAATGTTCATTATTTAGCAAAGATTGAAAAGCTGAAGAAATAATGAAAGTCTGTCTCACAGACATGATGTTATCCAAGTTAAAAAAGTTTTTTCCCCCCCCCCCCCCAACCACACGCATGCATCCTAAATGACTGCCCACCTTTCCCCTGAAACCGAGGATTAAGGCAGAGGCAGATTAAAGAATGCATCGTTATAGGTCTATTATTCTTCAACTTTTCACTTTCAATCAAGACACACATTTGTAACTAAAAAAAACTGCTGAAAGCACAATTTCAGGGCATCCTCTGCATGTGAATTAAACTGGGGCTTTTTTTTCCCAGTGCCCCACTCTCCCCACCCACCCCCAGCATAAGTAACAAGAGGCCATTTTCTGAAGGTCGTCTGAACCATTTCAAAGGCGATAACAAATCAGAATGTTCCCTGCATCTAATATCAAACAGGTCCGGTGCCAACACTTATTAGAGGAATCGGATTCAACCCCCCCTTCACCCAAACACACACACATCCAGCTTTGAAGTGGAAAGAATGCAGGGATCAGAAATTACCCAAGAGACAGCTCTGCCTGTCTTTGAAGCTTTCCTTTGATACTACTATTTCTTTTCCTCTCTTACGCTAGGAGGCTAAAAGCTGCCTTTTCTTATTGATATGGGGTAATTAATGAAGCCATAGCATTAACATAACCCAAGTTCCTTAACATGATAATTCAACAGAGACACTTATGTTTCTTTAGTTAAGCCTCATGGATGCAGAAGTAGGAATCTGGCTAGGCACCGATGTTAAGTACCCACTTTCAGTACCCACTCTAAATATGTCCGGTCAAGGTGGTTCTTGCTGTCTGCATCCAAAGAAAAGCAGGGTATGAGTATGCCAAAAAATCCCAAGATGCTTTTATTTGCAGACCAGAGTTACTAATGGCTCAGCTGACAATAAACCTGCCTTGCAAAGGTGAGCTGCATGGCTTCATTTATTCAGGAATCAGGACAACACTGGTAATTAATTACTATCCATGGTTAAATTCCTATGCAAAATGAGCATGTCAAAGAATGAGATGAAGGGTGGCACAGTGCCATCACTAGAACCATGAGGCTAATTAAAATGCATCAGTGCGTGGTGGACACAATGGGTTAGTACAGTAAGCAAGAGACTGCAGAGCAATCAGTGTACAGAACCTACATGTCACAGGCTGCCAGATCTCACCTATTGTTTTTGCAAAGTGTCACCAAAAATGTCTAAGTTACACAGCTGGCAACTTGGCAAAGACATATTCTGCAGGGTTCATGAATAATTCACAAGAGGAGTACATGGTGCACTTAAGAAATGCAACGATTCTTCGTGTGGATAAGCAAAGCTTGAAAATAAACCCCAGAATGTAGTGTCTTATTTTACTCACTGAAAGCTTAAGACTTCTATTTTTTTTTTTCACCCTAATTTTGAAAGTATCTAAATCTGTAAGAGGGAGTACCCAATTTAACTAGACTTCAGTACAGCAGAAACCATGTGAAGCTTTCACAGAAGTACCTGTCAACCTACATAGCACAATGTTCAAGCACGCAGCAAGCTACAGCAACCTGGATAGTGCAATGTCAGCTTTCCTGTGTAACTGCTAGTCACACAGCTCTACAACTCCAAGAAACACCCATATTTGGTTCTTTTTCTAGACTTGCCTGACTAATGGACCAGAAACTTATCAATGCCTCTGTTGCTGGCATTCATCTCTTTCCTTTTTCTTCCCAAAATTTGCTAGGAGAGTTGTACTTTCAGAGATAAATGATGACTCCCCTGATCTGCAAGCAAATTGTTGGCCTCTTCTGTGCAGAGTCTATTTTTCACTTACTATCAGAGTGATCATTCAGTCTCCTGACAACAGCCACCCCTTCTTTCATTGAATACTGCTGAATACATTTCGTTGCCCCGAACCCTGCTCTACTTAAAGAACCCCCCGCCATTGAATTTCACTTCCGTTACTCGAGGTACCTTCTGCCTGGTGCAGTTTGGAGGATGACCCAACAGACCTGCATTCAACAATTTAAGTGAAAAGAAGCACAACTTACTCAGTGTCCCTTCTGCAACATGGCTTACAGAAAAGACAGCACCTTCAAGACTGCCATATTGTATGATACCACCCCTACTTACTCTTCTCGCTGTTATTGACATACATTAAATGCTTCCTAGGAATACATAAGCTAACCCCCAAATCATTGCTGATTTAGTGTATAAATTGCCTACTGGAAAAATGATCACCTCCTACTGTGATCCTGAGGGTTCTCTGTATTTTTGTTATTTAATAAAGATGATACTCGCTGAGCTCTTTTTTCATACCCTTCTGTGTCTCCTTCTGAATGCCAGTGCCTTTTTCCCCTCTATCAGGCTAGAAACTGTGAAAAGTGAAAAGCTCACTGGAGTACTTTCCCAGCAGCATCTGTTGTGACAGGGAAAGAATTGGAATGGACTATGTTTGCAATTGACTGTAATCGCTCATTCCCAGGAGGCACAATAAGGAAAGCGAATCATTGCAAGAGCACAATCTTATTCTTAATTCTCCAATTACCAGTATAGTTAATTAGTGAAAAAAGAGGGAGCTCACTGTTTGTCAATATGTGCTCCTGTTGGCAAAACTAGCAAGCTATGCATTTATTCAATCTCCCAAGCCAAATTTACTCATGATTTAAGTAGTTGCAACTCCAATTCTACTTAAGTCAAAGGAAATGTTACTATTTATACCTGAAATGCAGACCTTCAGGTTTGCAAAAGCCCTGGGATGGCCCAAAGGAATAGCAAACTGCCACGTTAAAGGTCACAGGTTCATGCAGCCTTGTGGGAGCAGTCACATAGCCAAGACTTTGGACACAGAAAGCTAAACTGGTAGAAAACAGACTCCCCAACAGACTGGCTTAAAGCAAGAAAATAAGCCAGGTGTTAGCAGCGATGCTCTGGAGAAGGTGAACTGCTCCCCACTGGCAGCAGACAAAGGTTAGTGCCCTGTGCCCAAAGCTGGCCTTGGCAAGTCCTGTCTCCTCCTCGCAGCAAGTGATGACAGAGAAAAGGTATGTGGCTCTCAAGAGAGTTAACCTTGAGCTAAACAGAAGCCCAATGCCAGATGCTGAGTTTCAAAAAGGAATTCTTTTACTTAGCTTTTCAGCATATAGAGCATTATTGTATTTCAAGGGAGCTTCAAAGGAAGCTGGATTCATCAGAGAAAATGAGCACACCCAGATGAAGTGTGACACAGGAATCCATCAAGCACTCATTTCACTTCCGAGCAGAACTTGGGGTGAAGAGGGGCTGGTGCTATAAGTCTGTATTTCTATGCTAATATACAGAGAGTATAGTGCAGCTGTTTCTGTGGCAAAGTGGTATTTAAACCTGCATATCTGAATAATGCAAATTAAAATGAGGCAATTTTTGGTTTACTACTTCTTAGGCCAATCCCCTGCCCTTTGAGTGAGAATCTCTCACCTGAGAGATGCAGCTGTACTATCTCCTTCAGCAGATCAGCTCCTGGCCTTTTCTAGAGAACAGAGGTTCAGACTCAGAGCTGCTGAACTCTGGGGTCAGTACACAATGTGCCCCTGTGTGCTAAAACACAGTTATCACTTTTGAATGGAAAAAAAGTCTCACCTCATTATAACATGGCCTATGGGTGCCAAATACTCATCTTGATATAATGAACTTTTTATTTTAATAGGCTTCATAATCAGAAGAGAAAGCTCCAGAGAGAAAATGTGAAACATGGAGGTATTTAGTACTGGCAAAGGAGAGTCCTGGCAGATGTCTCTGTAAGAGAGACCATTCCACCCTGCAAACAGAAACAGGCTGAGCTGAAGGCTGTCAGGTATGGTTAACATAACCTGACGCACTAAAGACAGCCATATGGAGTGGGTGCAGTCAGAAGAAATTTGAGGGTTCAAGCAGGGTGAATTGTTCATAAAACAAATCACTTGTGGAAACAGGTAGCACTCTAATAGCTGCTGTTCAAGAAGTGCTAATACCAACAAGCAAATTACTGAGGACTACCTACCCCTGGTGCTGAACCCGGGACACGCTCACAGTTGTGTCTATCAAGGAGAACATAAAACTAGCCCAAGGTTTCCCAAAGGCTCTCAGAAAAGAGAAATCTGAACCTTGGGCTATTAATGTGCTGCTACACTGAAAAAATGTTTTCTCAGCAGACACTATTAACAAGGCAACTGGGGTCCAAGGTGATAAATTAGAAATTCAAGCAAGGGCTTCAGAGCTTAGTAAGAAATCAGACATTTGGATATGAAAAATCCAAGCAAAGCATGATAAATTTAAACCAGAGCATTCTGCAAGACATCCACAGAGTCTTTTGACATTTTTATGTTTCCAGAGTGCTTGCGATGGAATTCCTGCTCTCTGTCATTTAAATACCAGGTCAAAATAGAATTGAATGTTGCTGGATATACAATAACCTACCTTGCCATCTTCAGTATAGACATTTTCATTGTACCCTTTTACTATGGTCCGGTCAATGAAGAGGCTCCGCATCACCACTATCACTTTTAACACTTTTCCTAAGGTAACCTGTAAAGACCAGAAGAAAGGCAAAAACAAGTTGAAGGACAGCTGATGGTGTCTGAGGCAATCAAGTTAACAGCTTAAGTTGATGCAATTTCAGTTTTCAGTATTTTATAGACAGACCAAAATAAAAGACCTAAACCCAGTGCATGTTATGAGGAAGAGATAGACCATAAAGTGCAGAACAAACATTCATTTGCAACTGAAACTGAATCAATTCACAGAATTCCCTTGTGTAGACATGACACTGCCAAGTAACACTCTCAATTTTATTAACACCACAACTCAATAACTTGTCAAAAACAATGAGCAAATGTGATTATTTTCGATGCATTTGATATTCTCCAATGTAAGTCCTCTTACAGAAAAGGAATCTGAAAGAAGAATCAGACTGTTCTAATGCCAGCCTTTAAAAGCATGCCACGAGATTAATGGAAAACATTTTAGGTCCAACAAAAACACAAAATTATTTAAAAGGAAACTACAGCTAAAAAGTAAAAATGTTACATTTTCAAAGGTTTCATTTTCTTCTGTGCAGATGGTAACGTGTAAAGAATAAAACCAGTGTCATGGAAAATATATAGGGTCAGTCAGAGTATAACAACAGAAATAAGCCCAAATTATATTACTGACAAAAATGCAATAATGAAGGCATTTTAATCTAAAAATCGATTTACATTTCAAAGATGAACTCGCACTTCAATATTGTTGTGATGTCTAACAATAATTCTGTCTTTGTGTTTTGTTACACAGAGATTATTACAAAGCTTTTCCTCACCCATAAAAGCACAAAAATGAGATTAAAAAAAAGGAAACAATTGGTTCATTTTAGTAATTCCCAACCAGCAGCAGCTCGTTTTCTGTGTTCCAACATTTCATTCAGTATAGATTAACACCCACTACAACAACTGTGTTTTTACTGCCTCAGCAGACAAATCCACACCCAAAGAAATCAGTCAATAAGCATCTTTATTGATTTGTTACATGTTTTTCCTTTTTAACTTCTGCTAATGACTCCTATCTACCACCTTGTTTCAACATGAGTAGCCTCGACCTGATGCCGACTAACAAAGAGACTAAAGGGCAAATCAACTCTGAATACTGAGATGCTCTCCTCTCCTCGACCCGAAAATCTGGCACCAATACTCCATCTCCAAGCTGATGCAAGGACCGTGGTGGAGGAGGAAAGGAGGGGAAATGGTGGTAGGAATGGGGTGACAATACAGAACTTAGCAGAACAGTTACCCAAACTACTGTAAAAATACTGATTATTATAATCACTATTGTAATAGCAGGACAGAGCTACAAATCCTGAAAAGAACCGATGGCAGCTCTGTGGCATGAGACATGGAGAAAGCAAATCTAGGAGAGAAGAGTCTAAACAACAGGGAGGAACAACCTGACTGCAAAAGAAAGGAGAGGGAAAGTGGAAGGGAAAAAGAAGAAGCTGTAATTTTGCAAGAACACGAGGAGAAAAAGCAGGTCAGGAGAGTGGGTACATTTCTGAAGAAAGATGTTACGGGCTGACGGAGGGTGACTTGTACCATGGCCTGTACCATGCAAACATCACAAATAGCTTTTTCTGATTCCTGCCTTCTTAAAATAGGTTGGGATTTTCTGAACATGCATGCAACACCATAACAGGTGCTGTGAATTTGGGTTTAAATGTTGTATCTTGCTAGGATACTCTGTAGTAGGACCCAGTTAGTCTGCACATAAAGGAAACTGGCAGAGTTATTTCAGCATCAACCACTGTATCAAGTAAGTTAAAAATACACCCAGAGGTGCTTGATCTATGATGCTGGTCATCCACTGGAATCAGGAAGAGAGTTTTCTCGTAACTGCTAAGATGCTGCCCTACCAACACCCAAACCCAGCTTTATGTGTAATACTTTCCATCACCATTGCCTTCACACACTTCACTGGATGCTCACTTCTTTCCTCTTCCCTTACATTCTGCATTCATGTTACCTCACATTGCTGCCAGGTAGAAAAAAAGTAACACTGGATAAAGTTGATCTGAAGCCTGTGTGGGATGTTCCTGAAAATCCTCAAAGTGAGCAGCGCAACATAACAAGCTAAAAATCCCATGTTTGGCACTCCAGCTTGCTTGCATATACTTATTGTTGGCCTCAAACCTCCACACAAGATTTACCTGCACAAATGCTTTCAAAATGCTTCTGCATTAGCTCATTGCTTTTTCCCAGGTCATCTGTTCTCACATCCTTCCAATGATTCACTCCACACTTGCAGAATCCATCACAGCTACCCAGCTCCCAGCTAACATCCATCATGCAATACCAAAGGTCAAATTCTGCAGATTGGTCCAGGACAGTAGCCTAAATCACCCACTTGCTTGAATGTCAAAACCAGCACGGTTACGCTGGCTCCACATGTGTAAGAAGCTGTGTAAACCCATCCTCAGACGGGTGCCTAAGCCTGTGAGCTGCCTGAGTAAGGCACCGTCATTGCAATCTCAGCTTGCACAAGGGCTAGTGCAAGGGGGTCCTCTCCAGAAGTAGGGGCATCCAGGCATTCTGGAATATGAATAAACCACAGAACACATTGCAACTTTGCTGAGTTTCTGCTAGGTTGTCTGAATTAGCTCTTACAGTGCCCTGGCACCAAAATAGAAAGCTTTCCTATTTTGTGCCACTGTTGTTTTGACATGGGATTCCAGCAGATTTTACACTGGCTGGAAGAGAAATAGGATTTAGATGATTTTTGTAGGACTGTATCATTAGTTAAGTGTGACAGAAGCAGTAATTCTGTAAAACTAAGCATAGCTCAAAGAAATTATAGTTCATCATTTTAACAGCATTGAAAGAATGAGGCTAGTAGTAAAAGAATGAACAGCCTGTCACTAAACTAGAGGATGCTGTGTGATCTGGGAGCCAGAAGTATGCTCCACAGCTATTTTCAGGTTAAAGCACATTCTGTATTGTACACCATACATGGGATACACTTTATTTTCTCCTCTAATAATCAAGTTCTCAGGACTTAATGTTTTTGTTCACCTCAAATCATGTTTTCCAGTAAACCATTTTCTTTCCATGCCTGCTCAACTTAACTGGAGTCCATGGGCAGAAAAGATCTATGTATGGAATATAATTTACACCTATAATCATGCAACTGTGTCCCTACAGATCACCTGAAAGAAGGTAATAAAAAACTAATGGCTCTGGTAAAAAAGTAATTTGGTGGTTCTACTCTGAGCTCCAGTAGTGCGGGTCTCTCTCTCTGCCAGTCAGGACTCACCCAGATGGTCCCTGTTTACAGGGGCACTGAAATGTCCCTGTATTTCCACACATACTAACTGAAAGAAACTTCCTTCATTAGACAGAAAAGATACCTTTCAGTTGTCACAAAAAGGCAACAATTTCCTTTTGAAGGCAACTTTTCCTATTAAATTTCAACTTCTTCTGTCGATATCCTGTTAAGACAGCACTTGGCTTTATAATATTTTGCCTGAAGGATATATGCCAACTTGTCCTTGATGTAGAAAATTTTAATTCAAATCAATACATGTACAAGGTCACTTTAAAATTCAATTAATATGAATGAAAAAATATGCCCCACAGTTCTGTGAGCTGAAAATGGAACAGTTGCCAGTTAAATACTTCTGTAGCTTCTGTTTTGGTCTGTGTAATAACAATGTTCTTCTATCTTCCTCTTAACTATACTAAATTCAGACAGTTAAGTTATTCATAAATCCCTTGCTTCTTAAAATGGCAAGCTCCAGAAGAAGGTAGGACAGGCAGCTGATTGAAAGCTGCAATATTATGCAGCTTTTCTGACAAAGATATATAAAATAAAAATCTTCTTGAAATATCCCAGTTTTAAAAATATTTTGTCTATCACCAAGCTAATTCCCAAGGAGCAGATGACAGCCAGAGCATGCCAAAGAAGGGGGAGGGGGAAGCAGAATAATCACTGAGAATGGCTTAGATAATTTCTCCTAAGACTGCTAAAAAGTTCCCATTTGACAACACTTCCGATGGGAAAAGAAGTCAGTCCCTCTCCGAGTATGTCAGAATCGGGGTCAAAATGAGTTTACAAAGTGAAAAGGATCAAAATTCATTTACCATACCAGAATTCTGCCTGGAGGAAAGACCCTGAAATCCCCCCCTTTAATTTTGTCTCCTCACTGAAACTAATATCAAGTGAAAAGGCCTTTTATAAACAATTTAAAACATGCATTAACAAAAGTTCTTTCTCAAAATGTATTGAAAAGTTTGTTATTGGGAAAATGTGTGCTGACAGCACCAAGCTCCAACTTTGCAAAGAACTCCCAAAGCTGCAGATTTCCTCTCAGCATTCCAGGGTATTTGCTGCTGATTTGAGCTGCAGATGCTCTGCAATGCAGAGCTGAAAAGACAGACAACATTGCTTTCAGTTAACATGGGGACCTCCCTGCTTGGAGAAAAAGGAGCACAAGTTTGCATGTGTTTTTTATTCACCTTAGAAAACAAAAGAGCATCAAACCAGAGATGTAACCAGGCTGTACGTCAGCAAAAGGCCAGATGCCTGTTCTTTGCCATATAGCCAGGTATAAGCTTGTCCCCCAACTTGTGCATCTATCTTATTACTCATTACGATGCCTGGAAATCATATTTATATATACTGAAAAATAAGGCTTCTTTATTAAAGTAAGAGAAAAGCACACCCGGACTTTCAACTCTATTTTTTTCCTATGTCTCATCTGCTGCTGGTATGAATTCTGTGCTTTCCCTTACATGCTCATTATACTTTAATGATGCCTATTTGTAAATAGCAAGATAAGATGCAATTAAGCCATTAGACTCTAAATAAACAAACATCCTAATTAGGTTCTTTACAAGGATTTCGTTTTTTCATGCCAGGGCTGGAATTTACCTTTCATTAGTCTAACCTAATTGCAATAGTGCATGATAAAAACTCAACATAAGTGAAGGGCTTCAAATGATTTTGCCATATTAAGGATGAGCTGGCAATCCTCTCCCTCGGTAACATGCCATATTCCCTTAAATGAGTAAACTGGCACAGGTTATTGTTCGAAGGTTAAAAGAACAGATTTTGGCAGTGGCCAGCCACACTTTTGGAAGGGTCACACTAGTCCAGCATTGCTACGGATGATCAAATGGATTCTTCATCTTTTTTCCATTCTGAATTGTAGCACTCCAGGAATTTTACAGGGATAACACTGATGTCTGACTTTACAGAATACAAATCTATGGGAATATCAACACAGGCCTGTGAACCTTTGGCACTGGACAGCAACCCTGGGACACAGTAACCCTTGTGAAGGGAGCAAAGCTGAGGACATTTCTCACAGGTCTTTCTCTACGTTTTTTACTCTTGTTCACTTTCCCATCGAAAGACTCTTCCTTATCTTTCTCATTCTGGTATTAGACAATTAGAGAAGAATTTACAATTTACTTGGCATCCACTTCTTGCGTAGTTTGGTGATTTGAGACATTCTTCCTCCACAAGTGACCTCAAATGCTGGCTTAATGCTTTTTAAACTGGTTCTCAAGAGAAACTGTGAAGCCCAACAGTCCATTTCAACAGAAGCTGCAGGCCCAACAGTCCCATTATGAGCTCCGAAGTGATTCCTCAATATCCAGCACACACAAGAGATCCTTAAAATCCCAGTAGTTCCATCAAACACCGAAACGTAGCAAGTGTCTCCAAGAGTGTAAAACCCTAAATGAATATTCATACTATGTGCCTAAAATCAGGTGCCTAAGCCACCAAACGTGATCATCGTATCTATGTTCCCACCATGAACCTGCCTACCTGTACCCAGCGCCTACTGTGCACCAGCTTCCCAATGAAACACCAGACTGGCGAGGAGGAATGCCTACACTGCAAAGCATTTGGGAAAAAGATTGTTTTGAAAATAACCAATTCAATTGTTTCCAATCAAGTATAACATCAACAGCAGTTTCAAATCACTTGACAAATTTCCCCCTCTCCTCCCAGTCCTTCAACACCAGGGGCCCTTGAACAAGAATCAGTTTGGTGGCCATTCTTAATGGACAAATAATACATTTCAGAATCCATTTTTGCAACTGAAAAACAATTTTATGCAAAACACTGATAAACAAAAACGAGACACAAGAAATTATTCTGTTTTAGTGAACAGATGTCTAGCCTATTTGCAATTAATACAGCCCACTTCCATATAATCAGACTGTTTAAAATGCTTGGAACAAGATTTGAAAGTTCAAATGCAAATGTGTCTGATTTTATGGAGAATGAACAAAACTGTATAAAAGCATCTTTCATATTTTTATATGACAGATCCATTTATAAATTTTATAAATTTATAAAATTAATTTATCATCAAAAAGTTACAGATAACATGAAAAGAAGAAATTCTTTCTGCCATGAGCTTTGGTTTGGCAGAAACAATTCAATTTTTCAAATTGGAAGTTAGTTATAGATGTCATTCTGCTTTAGAAACAGCTCAAATTACAGATTATTATTCAATCACCTCTAAAAACATTTACCCAGTTTGTTGTAACTTGCTGTAGTAGTGCTTTTCTATAGTTCTACAAACACTGGGGATACAGATGACTTTAAAGGTAGTTCCCAGATGAAGACAAGAAAGTAAGTTTCTACACCTGACTAGGACCAAGTGGGTACATGACTCTGGGGAAGTCACATTTGTCAACTGGAAAAGTGAGGATAATTCTTACTATTTTCTAAATCATTTCTGATACTAATGAATTAATTGTGCACAGGTATTGTTTCACATATACAAAGATATTCTGAATTTTGATAATAGAAACAAGGTGTGTGAAGCAATCGTATAATAATCACAGCATCAAATTATGTTATTAGAAAAATAACGTATGCAACTAATCATTAAAAAAAAAAAAGGCAAAAATTTAGGTATTTTTCATTAATTAAAAATCAGTTTCTGTTTTCTTAACATACACGATGAGGTTGATCTATTCACAATTCCTGGCATCTGACCAACAGAATCTCACAAAAACCTTAAGGAGTTTGCAGTTCCCTCTGCTGCTGCTGGAAATTAATTTTGCATAAGATGGTTATTAAAGCTGATATAATTCTATGTTTAGTCTTTTTTATGCATAGTACGATTAAAAGACTAATTGAAAAATCACTAGTGAAGATTGGGATTAAACAGCACCTTGAAATGCCATGATAAACTGCTTTTAAAATCAGTTGAGGATTTCACACAGCTCGGAAAGGTTTCAATTATTTATGTGTTTGGTCTGTGTAGCATGGATCTAGACTAATGAGGTACAATTGCTATGTATAAATCTAAAGCATGAAAAAAACTCCTTAGTGTCTGGAGGAAGAAGGAACCTCAGAGGACTAGGAGGTAAGAGCCTTTCCAGACACAGCATTCACACTCTCAGGAATAGTTTATTTTCCTTTTTGTTTACGTGAAAGCTGCACCCTGGTTAGGGAGAACCCAGCTTAACACAAAGGTTACTTGCCAGAAGTGTTTGACACAGCTGCTAATTATTCCTCTTGAAACACTGGATGAATCTTAGACTGTGAAAGACTCACCTCTGCAGCTAAGGACATAAATTGATTTCCACGTGCACATGAAGTAGACTCCAGGGATGGAATATTCTTTATTAGGTCTTTTTCCTAAAGATGATTTCTTTGGCAAAGTCTCCAGCTATTCTGAAGTTTCAAAGAATCTCACTGGTGCTCCTTTCCTCTCCTTCCTCATCTCCTTCCATTTGCACATTCTTAAAATATGTGTAAGTGCTTACCACTGCCTTTGAAGATGAAGACACTTTTTTTCTGGTAAATGGAATGATTGTGTTTAAAGCAGTTTTAATGTAACAACAAGAACTCCACGTCAAAGGGCCTTTGTAAGCAACGGCAGGTATGACACGAACAGTCCAAGGATGCAAATGGTTGAGATTATACGGTGAGTTAATTAACTCTGGGCAAACAGCATGGTTTGAAATATTCTTAAATGAAATAAGCATTATCTGAATACTTTGGTATTGTGACAAACCAGGCTGCTGCAAGGGAGCAACTCCAAATCTAACTTGGGATAAGTTCAGAGTGAGAAATCACAAGTACTTAAGAAACCTCCCTTCTTCTGGGGGAGGTGCTCTTCACACTGCCCATCCTGCAGCACCTTGCACTGAATGATTTGTGGCTGAAAACAGCAAAAGCTTTTGTAGCAGTCAGGGCCAGATGGAAAGTGCCATATTGGCAACATCAACTGAGACAGATGGGAAAGAAGGAAAACCTGCCTAAAAGAAAAAATGATAAACCCATCACACAATCACATACAAAAATACTTTAAAAACAATCTTTTTGATCTCTGATCCAAGGAAAATATGCATACCACTGGTTCAATATGGGGCTGCTAGCTTGTAGCAACAATAATGCCCTTGATTTAGAGAACAACTGCAACATGGAATTCACTAAATTACTACTGCTTGTAGAAGAGGCTTCTTTTACAGTCACCACCCTTCCACCCTACTTTATTCCTTATCAGTCAACATCCAAGATAACTGACCTTATTTCCTAACTGTGCCTGAATCTCAAAAAACATCATCTATTTTTTGCCCTCAACAAGTGGAAGGTACTTAAAAAGAGCAAAGAGGAGCTGCTCTAAGAGAATGGAAAGGGTTTCAAGGTAAAGAAGTAAAACCAGACATTCTTCTATAGCAAAACAGTTAAACATAAAGTCACCTCAAGAGGGAACGCAAAAGCTTCCAAGACTTACAGCTTCTTAAGACTGCACTGATTAATTCAATTCTTTTCTGGAATATATTGTTCCACTTGGAAAATTCACCAATTGCAGATTAAATTTTTAATGCCAGCTGTTTATTTTAACCTCTGACTGGGTTAATCTCTTGCAAATTTGGGGCTATTCAAAGAAAGTTAATAATGGGATGTCAGAGAGTTGATTAATTAAAACTAACTATAATCACAGCTATACTTCTAATAGAGAAATTAACTGAACCTTTGAAAAATACAGGCAAAAATGTAACCATGATAGTATTTTAAAGTCAACAAACTCTTAAGTCAATATAAAATCTAACGAGCGATTTTACTGATGACTTACATTGAGTCAACAATTTTGTTTTGACAAAATATCTGATTTTCAGATTAGTTTTACTGTTTGCTTGGAAGCAAGAAATATAGCCACATGTACACTACACTTAAGCCTTTTGTAACAGCCTTTGAGAGAAAAGAAAAAATAAGAGGAAGTACCATGAGAAACCTGAGGTGGAAAAGACTGATCTGGTCTCAGTTCTTCACCCAGGTATATAATGTATTTTCTAGTTTTAGTAAGGATTTGGCAAAAGCTGTGACTTCTGCCTATCACCCTGTTAGAGGCAAATCAGCATCCAACTGCCATGCTGTGGACTCCACTTCCACGTTGCTGTCTTAGAGAAGAGCTTTAAAGACTTCTCTTGCTATAAGCACAACAGCTGCCTGTGAAAACTGATGTGAATAACAGGTTCTTCTGGAATGAAATCTTGCTTGGTTGGGCAGAAATAAGTCGAACGTATTGGACGTGTTTATCTCTAATCCAGCCTTTACTGCTCATTTACTTCAAAAGCAAATTCTTGACTTCATCATATAACAGAGATTCCCTGACCCAAGAACAATTTGAACAAATTTAAATCATATTGGTTTCCTCCTTCTTTTCTTCCTCCCACCACTCTTTTCCTTCTTAATTATCATGATTAAGACTCACTCATTGCCAAGACTACTGAAGAACCCAGGGAATAGCTGAGCTTGCACACATATTCCTACGATCAGATTTAAAAATGAAAAGTAATAAATCTTTCATTTAAAGGTGAAATTTGTTCTATCACTCATTTACCTATGAGCAAGAAAGATCCTACACTGCTGTGATGAATGAAGAACAGTATGTTTCTGAAAAAAATTATCTGTAATAACAGGTATTTTAGGAACAATAATTCAATGCATTAAGAAATCCATCTTGAGCCATTAAATGTACCAACTTACCAGAAGCATTGCAGAGGTTCCGTTTGGCCGGGAAAGCTGGATAGACATTTCAGGGAACATCCTATCAATCCGATTGATCACATCATCAACGTATCTGCCAAACAATCCAACACAACAGAATTAACACACATTTTCCTTGTTATTACTCCTTTTTAGCAACATCCACAGAACTTTCTGAATCAGTTTCTCTTTGATACCTGCATATTCTTCAAAAACGCATGCAAGTATAATTGAAAAGTTATTGATAAGAAGCTGCAAACAAAAGCCCTGTTTAAGTTGTTCTGAAAATTAATTACTCTGCCTTTAAAAACTTCTACTCTTTTCATTTTTAGTCCAAATCTTTCAGCCTCAAGCACCTGCCATCATTTTTCTATACTCTTCCCTCAGGGGGTAAAAAAAATACATTAGCAGAATTACTCTTCCAGTGCAGGCATTCATAGGATGTCACCTCCTCACTCTTTCTTTGATAAACTAAAAAGATAGAGGTTTTATCAAAGTCTTCACACTATTTCTAGTTTGTTGGGAGGTTTTTTCCGAATCTTTGCAATTTATTTCATGCACTGGTGACTCTGAAGTTGTGTATTCCGGGAGTTTCTCTGGAGTGATCAAACACAGAGTTAAAATAACACCCTTTCTGCTGAGTATAATCCCTCTGCTCGTGCAGGTCAAAGCAAACTGGTGTAAGTTGTCTTGGTTCCCTGGTACCCTATTAAGAGCTGACATCCATTACCAGTGAAAGCTTCTTTCAGAGACCTTGTTTCCCAGAACACATCACCCCATTCCATGGGCATGTCTGACATCCTTCAGCCATTCCTCTGGACACGTTTAAATGCACAGTACTTGCTTTAGCAGAGCCTGTATCATCTGTGCGCTAATCTGTCCCCCAGTACCACTGTCAGGTCTCCTGAAGTACACAGAAGAAGCAAGGAGCACAACAGCCTTGTTACCACACACATCTACAAACTCTGCAACTTGGTCAGATCCATGACTGCATTTATTGATAAAACTATTTTCATGCCAGCCCACAGATATGCTCTGGAAAAAAAGATTTTGGAAAAAAATCAGGTGTCCTGGTTAGATTTAACAAACTAAAAAACTAAATATTTCCTTTTGACCTACTTAAATAAGGCAAAAAATGTTGAATTCTTGTCCTTCAAAGTTAAGTTCTAATGTTAGTTGCTAAACCCCTCCCCCTGAAAAAATAATGAGGTGCTATGCTCCAGTTGCTTTTTTTGCAAGGGATTAAAAATGAGAAAAAACAAAATAAAGTCAAGCAAGCTACACTTCAATGGCTGCTGAAGTCAGCCCGCTTTGAAAAGTAACAAAGAAAGGAATTACTTATGACAACTTTGCATAAAAATCTTAATCCACACTTCTCATTGTGTTGAAAAGTTTCCCATTCACTCAAATACTCATTAACAGTTTCCTGATAAGCAAAGTCAAACATCCACAAGCCAAGAACTTCCTTAGGAGGGTGAAAGAGAAGATGCCTAAGACACATTGACACTACATACCTAGCTAGTTTTAAACATTACCCAATCCCATACTTTTGAGGGTTTATACAGGCTCTGAAAATAGGTATTGCTTATGTATGAACAGAGATGACCAATTGTGAAACAGGCAAGGAGAGATTCTGGGTTGCTTGATGTGTACGTGGATAGGAACAGACCTGATCGTCTTGCACACTATGATACAGATTGTTGAGTAACTTCTCTAAGTTTTCCAAGCTTTGGGCAGTAAGAAACTAAAACAAAATACAAAGTTGCATAAAACAAGGCAATGACACTGTCTGTGTGCACTAAGGAAGGAAAATTCAACTAATTTAAAGTCATACAAATAGTAGTTGGACTTTGGCATTTAATCTTCTTGGGTCCTTCCGAAAAATCCCAGCAGAGACATATATTTATCCTTTGAAAGTGTAACCCAGCTGGTTGGAGGGAACCAATTCCTCAGCTCTTCCTTAGATACAATTAGTTTTTAAATGTAAAACTTGACTCAATCCCAGCTGTCACCTTATACCTGACAGTATAAAGCACGATAGGGAATTCACAGGGAGCTTGTGAAGAGTCTTCCCTTTATATGAAACTATATACAGCACAACAGAAATCTTCTCCAATTTGTATTAACCAGCTTCTGAAAGAAGTTAACAAGTTACTAAGATACTTTGGGCTTAGAAGCCTGTTAATTTTGTACCACTCTTCACAGGTTGGTTGACAAAAAAAAAAGAACATTAAATCACACTTACACTTAAGAAAATACGTTTTACTTAGGCAAGGCTCAGAAAATCCATCAGGCCCATCCACACAAATAACCTGTTCCTTCTCTTCTCAGTCAAAAGGATGTCAGAGAAAATCGAAAGACCAATATGATAAAAGAGCATTGATGTATGTATGATCATTTTGCCCCTTTGCCTTTTTTCAAGTAGACATCAGGGTTTCCTGAGGACTCATCAGAACAGAAGGATTCTTCAAAGATGCATATATAATTACTGAATTAGCCTGTCTACGTGGCGGCCTCAAATATAAAGTGACAAACAACCTAATCTAAGGCAAAATTCGTCTATAGATATGCCCTTCAGAGAGGACATCTGGTAAAACATCTTGCAAAGGGATGGATATGATAAATCAGATGCAGCAAAGTAATGCAAAAGTGTAACTGGTGACAACTCGGAGAACATATGATAAAGACAAGATAAAGTGCACTCCTGAGGCTGTCTGGAAAGAAGGTCAGAAAAAAAGCTGCTGTCTGGAACTTTCTTTATGGAACTGAAACACATTAATGCCAAAATAAGAAGAGTCGCAATTTACACATCTCTGTCCAGTTTTAGGAGTTATGGTATTTTTGAGCTATTTATGTTACAGAACCTCTTACGTAGCCAGGGAGAAGCACAGCACTTAAGGATGGAAAAGTCTGATTTTACTTTGCCAGTGAGCACTTCTAACTTTTAACATACTTACCACATCCCAGCTTTCTCCTACTTACAAAAGATGCTGGTTGGAACAAGCATTTACAAACCCAGAAGAAATAATGCAAAGCAGGTAAAAGCAAATGAAAATAGATTTGCTCAAATATTTGACATATTTTAATCTTAAGGAAGAAAAAAAATCATGGAATTCTCAGAATTAAATACAAGCTGAAGTTACTAGGTAGTAGCTTCTCCTCTTAATCTAGACCAGGCACTATCCACCTACAAAGGGCTAAACAGACAAACTCCCTCCCCATAGCTTCTATACCATGCAAAGGATGTTCAAAAAGGTCTGAAGACAAACGATTGCAAAAGACCGTAACTAGTAACCCCCATATTCAATTATGCACAGTATTTAAACTCTTTTTAGTCAGATTTTCATCCTAATTACTCTTCTAGGCCTCCAAAGACAATGTATTAACACCCTGTAACTGCAAACCCCTAAATTAGTCCAATTCTAGTAAAAAAATTTCAAGTAACTTCATCAATACCTGAGTCCTCATCCAGACCTGCATGTACCCTAATCAAAAAAGCCACTCAACCAACAGGACATCCCATCACCAAATCCTAAGAAATACTAAAGCAGTTTTGCTAATATCGTTTTATCAAAGGGAAGAGTTTTAAAGAAGCTTTCAAAGCAGGTTTGTATCAACTTCCTCCCAGGAACAGGAACCCAGAACATCCCTTTTTTCTCTTCTCTCTCCCCTTCACAACACACATTTATGATTTTGAAGGAGGTTTTAAAATCGGATTTTTTGACATAAAATCTTTATTTTAAAACATGATACTAGCATCATTCAGGGGTATGCATCTGAGCGTGCAATAGAACCAGTCAGTACAATCACACCTGACATTAGATGCTCTCCAAAGCTGCCAACACTCTAAATGGTTATTTTCATTTTAATGTAGTAGAACACTTCTTTCTACAAACATGCTCTATTAATCCTGTTGTGTTTTGACTTTTGCAATCTACTTCATGAACATTGGCAAAAACTGAAACTAATTCCAAATATTACACTTCAAATGAACTCATTTTGAACGTGCAGAAAAATCAACACTAAAGCAACAGATATCCTTGAAGCAGCTCTCTGACATTTTGCCAATGAGTGTATATATAAATCCTTTAGTCTGTATTAGAGGAACAAAGCCTGAGACAGACCAAACGCACTTTTGAAGCCTTTTAAGGGATAATTAGTTATGCAAAATATTAAACAAGAACTGTCTTACTAAAACATCAGGTTGACAAAGTAGAAATAATTCAGGAACCATCTTCACAGATAAATGGTCTCGTACCATCTCTTTGATTCGCATTAAGTCCCCCCCAAAAAAGATAGTAATACAGAAAAGTAATTCATTATGAATGTCTTTCAATTCCACACTGGACAGATGGCTTAGTTCTCTAATGTGACCTCTCTTTTTTATTTATTTATTTTTACTGGATTAGATCCAGCAAGCCAATGTTAGTGTGATGTTTAACAGCTTAGACAAGATTTTAATAGCATTTATCCCACACAGTGTTTAACTTGCATGCTGTTCATTTTTTCCACTCAATACAACAATTTAAAGATTAGAAATATAGGTGTTAATGCTAATTTTCTGAGGTCTTTTGGAAGAAAGAAAACGTTGCTAAATGATCCTGGGGAGACAGAAAAAAATACACATATAAAGGAACATAATCTTCCCTATTACCCAATGGGAAATACCACATACAAGATGAATAGAAACTCTATAACTTTGTTCAATCTGGGTTCATGATATTTGGACAGCAAGAGGGGAAACCTGTACATGTTCTCTCACTAGCACAGTATTTACTTGCTCCAGAAATACTTTTTGGGGGGCTTTCAGTTACTATTTTCAACATGACTAATAGTTTCTTTTCACATGGTTGATATTGCAGCCGCATGGGCCCTGCAGACTCTGCAGCATACGTAGTGCTTGCTAATGACTGATCAGTGCAAAGAGCTTACCTGCACTCTACCAAGACCTATGGAGCAGCTATATTTTGTAGAACCAGACTCAATATATAACTTACAGCTTTTACTAACGACAGGATTTTAAATATTGTAGATTTTATGGAGAGACTAAACAGTTTCCAGGCAAGCTGATTAGAGAAATATTGTATTTTAAAA